TTTTACGGGATCTGAATGCGCCCGCGCCAGCCAATCAGCAGAAGGTGCATATCTCGCGAGAGGCCACTTCTGCATTGTTTTCGGCCAAGGCCTGGTGAGTCACGCTGGGTGCTCTAGAGAGCGCGGGCAGTGGAAAGTGACGTGTGGGCTTGCAGCCGGGCATGCGATAAAAATATCAGCGCAAGGCCAATCGCAGAACCGCTACAAGATCTCCGGTGGTGGTTGTAACTGATTCGATGTTATGCTGGATCGCAGGGCCCTCGAGTAACTTCCACTGTCGCTCTGAGATCAGGGTAATGTCAGAGGCGTTGTCCAACCGTAGGCGGTCTGTGTGGCCATTGAGTAATATGCTGGAAAACTTCCTTCGACTAGTTGTTCTGAAGGGGACAGTATCCAACGAATTCAGGGAGTTGTCAATGTGCTGGTATTAAGAATTCAAGCGGAAACCACACTATGAATTTTCGGTACCATGTACAGGCTTGCTTCCACAGTCTGGTCCTTGTTCGCAGGACCATGCACAGGGTCCCACCTGAATACATACATAGAAGCTATGTTGACGTTATGAACAATCTTAATGGAAATGTCATTGCCGACAGGAACTTGTAGTGCATTAGCCTTAGGTGCTTTCTTGAACGACCTGACAGGGTTTAGCATCGCCGTTGAGAGTGTATGGCATGTGCAGGCTATTATAGTGCCCTAAGTCATGACGAAATCGTAGTTGAAATTGATGACTGTTTAACACTCCTCAGTCCTCTTTTTGAATGGAAGTGATGTTTGCTCTTGCACTTTGGACGCGTGGTGTGCTCAAGTGACACCGTTCTTGGAAAATAAAAACTGCAGACAAGTGCAATTCATTGAAACTACTCTTTAGTGATAGATTTAAGTTTAGAACCCACACCCCTGCGATGGACAAAGTGCGAATACCTAGTGTACTCTTCCGCTTTCTGTTTACATAGTTGGAGGCAATTGTATTAATTTTTAAATACAGGTGACTGTCCATCGATGACC